GTGCTGCATGTCAGATGTTGGCCTTCAGGGAGACTCGGGTGGGAGTGAGGAGCCCACCCCCACCGGTGTAAATCTAGCTGGGTAGTCCCTGAGCGCTGAGAGACCCGGCCAGCGAGTTCTGCCGACGGGATCCGAGCGGCCGGTGACTCGCAGAAGAGAAGAAGGCCAGGCGCTGGGCCAGGGGACTTTATGTGGATCAGCAAAATGACGTGTGAGTCCTTAGGGAAGGCACCAGAGCCGAGCGTCACCTTCCTGGGTTCCCTAAAACACGGGGCACAGCAGCCGAGCCTGATCCTAAACTCCCGCCGTGGCTCCTCGCCCTCGAGAGCGGTGCCGTCAGTACAGCGGAGCTGCGTGTTGGCAGATCCTCGGCTCACGGAATTGTCCAGAGACCTGAGCCAGATGCCGGGGTGGCGGGGCAGGTTTATATCTTTCCAGCTGACAGAAGTTCAGGCACGTCTCGGGTGCCGTGCGCGGGCTCCCTGGCTTCCTCGTAGCGAACATTCCACCTTGGAACTGGTTGGGGAGGTGAAGACACTGAGCGACACAGGTGGCTCAGCGGGAGGGAGACATGTTGGGCGGGGGGGACGCCGGGGGACCATGAACATCCCTCCCGATCGACAGCGTGATGCTGACCACCTGGCTGGGCAGCCGCCACCTGGGGGTCCCGTGTCCCTGGCTTCCGTCTGCAGGAGCTGACCGAGAGCTGCGAGGCAGACAGCGGTCACAGGGGAGCAGGACATCTCCCGCGGCCGAGGACCTGAGGGTGCCTGCCCTGTGGTCGGGGGACGGGGTCGGGGGCCGGGGGACTGACGTGTTCACAAGGCCCTCCCCTGAAGGACGGCTGTTCCGCTCTGCCCGGGGCCTGGATGTAGAAGGGGAATGGTGAGCGCTACAGAACCACAATGAACTTTCTAGAAGGACCGGGCAGTGCCCCGTCCCGGGCAGTGTCGGCTGAGAAGGGGCGCTTGAGAGACAGGAAGGTCCTGGGCCTGCAGCCTCTGACACGGCCGGGTGGACAATGTCTGAGGCCGTTCCTCCGGGACATGAGCCCGTGGTGAGGAAGGCTGAGCTCCAGGGATGGCCACCGCCACGACTCCTGAAGGCCCAGTGCAGCCGGCTCTGTCGTCTTCTCCGGCGGCACCGTGCGGGGACTCGAGCTTTCTTTGCTCAGCACGACCATCAGCGAATATTCGCCCCAATGACTTGCATGTGTGAGAAGCTACATCTTCCCAGACACCTGGCAGTCTGCTTCCGAAGCGGCCTAAGTTATCACCTACTGAGGACGGGTCACCTCCTCCACTCCGTCTACCTAAGAAGGCAGCATTGATTTTTTTTTTCCTTAAAAGATAAATGATTTGAGAACCACTGATTTTAATAACGCTCGCCCCCTCCCGCCCAGAAAACAATTTTTTAGCAGGTATTAATTAAGACAGTTGTTGCTGCCAACGAAACGATGACAGTCCGGGGTAGAGTCTTGCAAGTGAGATTACCGGGTGGTTCGAAGGCCAATTCCACCATCTGCTGGAGTGTGGCGTTGGACGTGCTGAGCCTCCCTCGGCCTCGGCCTCAACGTGTCCAAAATGGGGATGAAATCCGTCTCGTAATGTTAACAGGAAGGTGTCGTGAATGAACGTGTATGTCAGGGGTTACAGAGTCCCCGGCGTAGGGTAAATGGTCCGTAAATGTATCAGCTGCAAAGCTCTTGGGACACAATCAAAGAAAACTAGATTAGTTCTCCTGCTTTGCAGACTTTGGGACACCTCATTCCACTGTCTTCCCACACCGAGGACTTGTTCACCGACTTCCATCTTTTGGTTGCTGGATTTCACCCTCGAGTCGTGCTATTTTCTAGAAGCGCGAGAGTCATGCCTCTTGCTGAATGTTGCCTACATAGCAGCCTGCTTCCAGGCTGGCAGGGGCCTGACTCGGTTCTTTGCTCCACTGCTCTCTCTCTCTCTGTCTCTCTCTCTCTCTCTGTCTCTCTCTCTTTCTCAGAATGCAGGTAAATCCTGATTTCTCTAAGACGACAATGGCGGTCACATTTCCCAGCTGGCCCTTTTGCTGTCTCCTCGAGATGTCACAGAGTGAGGTTGTAATGTCTGGAGTCGCAGCAGGCATTTTATGACCATGAGGGCAGTCATCCCACATCTTAAGGATGACAACTCCAAAACGTGAAAACACCATCAAAGACGGGTGAGGCCACCGAGCCACCGAAATAACCAGCTCCCAAACTGTCTCGCCCCTATTCTCTTAAGGGAGACTATACCTCCTCATTGTTTAAGCCGTCAGACATTGGGTTTTCTATTACTTGCGTTTGAAAACATGCCAGTTCATACATGAGTGCTGCATCCCCTGAGGGCTTTCATATCTGGGAATATTAACTTCAGGGAGTAGGAATATCTTGGGTCACATTTTTTCCCCAAAAACCTTTGTAAATGTTGCAACCTTTTCATCTGACATTGAAAGCTACCGTGGAGACATCTGAGGCCACCAGGTCCCCCTGCCACTCCTCCCTGAAGTTCAATCACGCATCCAGGAGATCTTTGGTGTTGGTTGTTCTATACCAGCTTTTCCTGGAACACAGTGAGCACTTTTGATCTGCAGATTTAGTCCTCTTCTTTCAGAGATGTTTCCTTACATCTTTGGGAAAAAAGGACATTAATATTGGAGGACTCTTTTTTTGAAGGAATATCAACTAACCTCTTCCTAATTGCTCAAATGATACAGTTTTCTTCCTGTACATTCACTGTAGCTGATCCAAGCGTTTCCTGTAATGCTCTTTGGTCTTTCCAATTTGGTTTCTCTACCGGACATTTCTGATTTTCATTTGGTTGCCTCAGCTGTATAATCTCTCTCTTTCTCATTCTGCTGTTTTTATCTTTTCTCCCAGCCCTTATTCTATTAAGTTAGTGTCCTTGATTAATTTATTCTATAACACAGGACACATGTGAAGAGTTTTCTTCTATTGGGTTACATTTTCTTCCACACTAGATTCTTCATCTCCCTCAACCATCATGTAATTCTTTTTTTAAAGATTTTATTTATTTATTTATTTATTTATTTATTTATTTATTTGAGAGAGAGAGCACTCGAGTCAAAAGTGGGGGTGGGGAGAGGCAGAGGAGGAAGAGAAGCTGGTTCCTCACTGAGCAGGGAGCCCCGATGTAGGGCTCAATCCCAGGACCCAGAGAACATGACCTGAGCCAAAGGCAGACGCTCAACCACTGAGCTACGCAGGCGCTCCTCTTTTGTTTTCTTTTTTTTTTTTTTTCCCTTCTCTGGTTATCAAAGTCTTAGATTTGGATGCTGGATTTGCTGCTTCCATCTTATTTATATCTAACAGGGATTTGCTCTTTGTAAATTTTCTGCTCAAATACAACGTGAGCAAATTCTCCTTAGCTGCTCTCTCGGTATATTCGAAGGAGTTTGAGAGCTGGAAGCTTGCACTTTGATCTACTTTCCAATGACCTGTATCCACAGTGAGGATTAGGATTGATCCAGTGGATGTGTGCAAGCCCTGGGCTCTGTTTGCTCCTACGATTCTGGGAAACTTCCACCACCACCCCTGACCCTTGTTAGAAGCCCTTCCTGTTTCTGTGGCAAACTGTCCTTGGATTTTGAACCTTTGCCTCTTATACGGTGCAAAGTCCTAAAAAATGGCAAGCCCTAGTGATCTGTTCCCAGCTCTGGGCAGGTCCTGTGGGCGGTAGGGGCTGTTCTCTACTCCCAATAGTTTCATCTCCCCTGGATTTCCCCAGGTGGCTTCCTTCTGTGCCCACCTTCCCATCTCACTTTGCAGATTCATGTCTTCTTTGTATCAAAAAGCATTCGTGAGAAATCTTGGTATTTTCTCACCTTGGTTTCCTTCCCTAGCAGAGATTTTGGAGGAACGGGGGTGGGATTCGGATGCCATTCTCCGCTTCTATTTCATCGAGTGCCATTTTTTGAAGTTTACGGTCACAAGGTCCTACTCGTTTTTTTTGTTGTTGTTGTTTCCTTGCTCCTTTCTCTTGTTCTTGTTCTGGCTGCTGATTTTTGCTGTTCTTTTGTCCATTTCATTAGTAATTGTGGGAGAGAGGCTCTGTGATCCATCACGCCGTCATTCTCATGCGGATGTCTCTTCTCCGTGCTCTTTCAACTGCACGGGTCCTGAATATATTCCTGTAGGAATCGCACGTTAAAAAAATTTTTTTTGGCCAAAAACAATAAAATTGCAAATGCATCTCAATCATTACTAAAGATGAAGAAAGGAGGGCAGTGAAAGCAGACTCTCACAGCAGCTTGCTAATAAGGAACTTCCACATAGCGTCTTCCACTTACAGCACACTAGCTCCTTATCTCACTTCCATTTCGCCCCAGAAGGCGCCCTGCATCCCCAGAACCTAAGTCTGCGCTTGGGCGGGAGAAGTCCCGGCAAGTCCCGAACAAAGGAACGACTGTTGTGTCATTTTACAGATGGGAACACTGAGGCTGCAAGCACCAAGGCCGCACATGGGAAGGCGGATGAAAAGGGGGCAAACGGGGACGCGGGAGGACGGCGCGGGGGGACGAGGCGCCGGCGGAAGGGACCGGGGCTGGGCCCCGGGGCTGGTCCGCGGGCAGGTGGGCTCCTTGGCATCCTGGTCCCTCGCTGGCGCTGGACCAGCATCCCGCAGGCGCCGCGCCGTGGTTGCCATGGGAACCAGGCCGCTGCGCAGGCGCGTGGAGCTCGGGGGTGGGGTGGCCGGCACTGCGCAGGCGCGGCGTCCCGGTTGCTAGGTTCCGCGACGCGGCCCGCTGAGCCCGAGCCTCGGGTGGCGGAGGGAACGTTCGAGCCCACCTGGCCGAGCCTGCGCGCGCCTGCCGGCTCTCGCCTTGTCCTGCCCAGAGTGACAGGCTAGCCCCGTCCCCCTCCTCCTTCTGGACGCCCCTGGTGGCGTCCCGACGCCTGCAGCCGGCCGCCCGTCAGCGGGAGACCGAGGAGCTTCCAGGCGGGCGAGGGAAAGAGGGAAATAGCCATGTCGAACGCGTAAGTGACGGGCGGCCGGCCTATGGCCTGGGCGGGCTTCGGCGGAGGAAGGGCGGCCTGCCCCGCTTCTTGTCCTGCTCTCCTCCCCCCTCCCCTCCTTCTTTTTACATTGCAGCAAAGAAAGCTGGGGCCCGGGATAGAGTATCAGCCTCCTGGGGACCGGGAGCGCGTTCGCCCAGGCCTCCCTCCGCCCCGTCACTGCCTCCCCCCACCCCACCCCGGGGGTGAGCTCCCGCAGGCCCGTGGCGGTGCCCTCGCCGTAGTCTTTTTGGAAAAGCAGCATCTCCAGCACGCTCAGTCCTCGCCTGCCCTTTAGTCCCTCTTGCGCAGCGGCACAGGGGCTGCTCTGTGGGAACTCCCAGGTGCCCTGTGAGGTCGAGAAGGAGCTGCAGGACGCCCCCTTGCACCACGTCGCTTTCCACCAGGGAACCCCCATCGGGTGGCGGGGGTACAGGAAGGAGTGTTCCCCAGGCGCTGTGCTGTCCTCATCGTGCCCATTGCACACGTGTGGTGGGGCTGATCTGTGGGCGCTGAGGGTTTGAAATAGGGCAGGACACCTGAGCTTCACAGCACCCCTCTACACAGGACCTGGTTACATTGTTATTCCCATTTCACAGCTGGGGAGACGACACAGAGAGGCTAAGTAGTTCACACCCAACCAGCAGACGGGCCAGCCAGGCGCCGCAGCTCCAGCCTGCAGCCACGCTATTAACTAACCACACGTTTAATTTTTTAATTTTTTATTTATTTATTTATGATAGAGAGAGAGAGAGAGAGGCAGAGACACAGGCAGAGGGAGAAGCAGGCTCCATGCACCGGGAGCCTGATGTGGGATTCGATCCTGGGTCTCCAGGATCGCGCCCTGGGCCAAAGGCAGGCGCCAAACCGCTGCGCCACCCAGGGATTCCCTAACCACACGTTTAGGCGACAAAGTAAGAGCAGAGAGGCCGGGGCACCTGGGGGGCTCAGCCATTGAGGGCCCGCCTTCCGCCCAGGGCATGACCCCGGGGTCCTGGGATCAAGTCCCACGTCGGGCTCCCTGCAGGGAGCCTGCTTCTCCCTCTTTCTTTGTGAATAAATTAATGAATGAATTAAAAAAAAAAAGCAGAGAGGTCAAGGCCTTGCTGAGATTTTGCAGGTGGGGACGATCCTCAGGAGCTCGGTTTTTGGACATGTTGAGTTTGAAGTGCCCGGCGGAGATCAAGTAGGCACTTGAGTATTCGAGCGTTGAGTTCAGGAGAGAGGTCTACGTATGAAGTATAGACTCGACAGGTGTTGGTATGCAGATTGGCTTTATTGACACGGAGTGAGCGTAGACAGAAAAAGGGTCCACGGATGAAGGCTGGTGTCATCCGGTGGTAAGAGACTGGGGCGCAGGCACCAGCAAGGGGATGAAGGTGTGACCAGTGAGGAGGAAGCGAAAGCGCGGTGTCCTGGAAGCCAGGTGAACAGGAAGTAGTGTTTCTGGGAGGGGGGGAGTGAAGGATTCAAACGCTGCCCAGACGAGTCAGAAGAGAACCGAACTGGGCCATGCACTGAGCAACATGGGGCCCCAGCGTGCCCTTGACCCTTGTGGGGGATGAGGTGGGAAGGTTGCTGAGAGTGGGAGGGGACATTTGGAGAGACCCTGTAGACCGGGAGCATGGCCAGCTTTTAAAAGGGGTTTTGCTATAGCTGGTGTGGGGAAGCGGGGCCAGGAGACAGATAGGAGGCAGTGACATGTAACCCTGCTAAAGGGCAGGACTTGGAATGGACCAGGAGTCAAAGAAATGGGATAGTGTGGAGGAGGAGGGGGGACTGGGGTGATGTTGCTGGTGGGGGCATGAGCCCCAGCGGGCAGCTCCAGGTCTTGGCTTCTAGGGAGGAACTGAGTTGTTTATCACAGGGGAGTGAGGAGGGTAGAGTCTGTCGTAAATGCTCTTCGTGGGGTAGACACCCCGTGGGAGCCTGGAAAGATGCTATAGGAGGAGACGGTGGTGACGCTGAGGGGCGGTGGTGATGCCACCCGGTGAAATGGGGTTCGGAACTAGGGGGTGGGGTGGGGAGAATGATCTGGAAGTGGCAGTGAGGAGCAGGGACCTTGACCCTCCAGCCCCGCAGTCGTCGGCAGAGTCTGGTGGAAAGGGAGCCTCTCCTGTGAGGGCTGCACGGGAGGACAGCCGGGCCTCCCTTAGGCAAGAAGGCCAAGGGAATATTCCAGAAAGAGGACAAACAGCTGCATAGTATTGGGAGAATCTGGAGATTTATCCTTCATAAAATATCTTGGGAAGAATTCCCACTTTGCAAGATTTAGATATTTTTCATCGAAGCCCATGATGTCTGAACAGTCCGGTCTTCCGCTCCCTCACCCACCCAGCCACAGAAAATCTGCCAAGCTATGGAAATCGCAGGCTGGCCGTGTTCAACTGTCACGTTCAGTGTTCTCCACCCACGGTCCTCCTGACTTCAGACTCTGAAACATTTCTTGGTCATACGCCCAAGTCTGAAACCAATCACGCACTTCAAAAAAAAAAAATTATAAGTAACCTCATGGATAAAATACCACCTTCTCTTTGCAAGGTGCACTTGCGATCCCCAGAACACTTGCACATCCGTGATCCCAGCCCGCAGTCATCCCTCGGGGTGTCAGAGAGGTGCCATTAGCCAGATTTGCCCCTTGAGGAAGTGAAGGCACAGGACGTTGTGGCCTGAGACCACCCACCCCAGGAGATGATGCTGATGCGAAACTTAACAGCATCTTGCCTTTAAAACCCTCCTTGAGGGACCCCTGGGTGGCTCAGCGTTTGAGTGTCTGCCTTCGGCTCAGGGCGTGACCCCGGGGTCCTGGGATCGAATCCTGCATCGGGCTCCCTGCACGGAGCCCGCTTCTCCCTCTGCCTGTGTCTCTGCCTCTCTTTTTCCGTGTCTCTCCTGAATAAATGAATAAAATCTTTTTACAAAATTAAAAATTTCTTTAAAAATAAAATAAAACCCTCCTTGCTATGCCCAAGAAAAATAAAAATACGCACACAGGGATGTTCACCGTGGCCTCATTCCCAACAGCCACAGAAACAGCCCCACGTCCATCAGCTGGAGCGTGGACAGCAGGCTGCGGTGTGTACGTGCCGGGAACATACTTGGCAGCAAGGAGAGGCACATGTGCACTTTGGAAGGGTGTGCTGAGTGCAAGGAGCAGAGCACAAGGGCCACCTACTAAGTGGGTCCATGTACGTGAAATGCCCGAGGTAGGCAAATAGAGTAGAAATGAGGTTAATGGTTGCCAGGGGCTGGGAGGAGGGGGCGGGGGACGGGGGACGGGGTGGCAGCTGGTGGTTACTAGCTGATGGGTGATGATGCGGGCTTGGCTGGCTCACACGGCTGCCTGATATTTCCCATCAACCAGCCACCAGCCCCCGGTGCCCCCAGCAGGGCCCTCCGGGACAGCGGCAGGTGCAGGAGGAAGAGGCCACCACCCAAATGTGGCACTTGGAAGGCTCGGGCCTCCGGGAGAATTGTGTCCCAGAGTTCCAGCCAGGGCCCCGCGGAGCCACGGCCCTGGAGGGGTTCCTGCCTTGACCCTGGGTGGAGGCCGAGATCGCGCTGAGCTGGGGCAGCAAGGCTTCCCCGGGCTGGGCCTGCCCCCAAGCCGCGTCCATGCATTCCTAAATTCTGGGCATGTTCCGTCCATCAGTTTGGGTGTTGTGGCCGCTGGTGGAAGCATCCTGTACCCAGCATCCTTCATCACGATGGGTGTGGGTCTTTGTGGGATTCAGGCCGCCCCGTCTGCACCCCACGGGGCAGCCTCCCTGGGGTCTTGCACAACCTTAGTGCTTCCTGGCTTTGAAGTCTGATAAATGCCCCTGATTTATCACTACGGATCCCACCCCCACTTGTAGAAATCATGGCTGTGATTGACATTAGTCCCAAATTCTCGGTAGTATTACATCTGCATGTCGGTCTCAAGAGCCTGCTTGCTTTTTGTCCTGTCTCTCCAGCCTCTGCCTGTTGTGATCCTCCTTGCAGCTAGCACTCTAGAATTTTCTTCAGTTACATCTTGTGTGGCTCCCACCGTATCCATTCTTAGATATTTAATCAGTACGAGGAAGAGGGTTTCGTTTTTCGTATTTTTCTCTGTGACTTTTTTTTTCTGTGGCCTTTATCAATGTCTTGCAACTTTGCTGTACAGTTGACTTCTTATATCTTGTTGCTGATTTCCTTGGATTTTGCAACTGTGTCATTGACAAGCATTTTCTGAATTCTTTTGTGTTAATCCCTTTTCTGTCTGCTTCCTCCTTTCTCATTGCCGTCTTTTAGATTTCTGGTGTGCCTCCGGAAAGTATTTTTGGTCCATGGTGTTCAGCATTTTGAAGGGCTGACAGCGTCCGTCCTTTGGGGGTATGTGGACGGTATTCTTAATCAGGCCTATGCCATAAATTAAATTCATTGAGCATTTTCTTGGCATCTGTGGAAATAACCTTCAGTTTGTGCTGTTCTGTTGCTGTATTTAGCTCAGCTTGTCTTTCTGCTGAATGCTCACAGATTCCTGGGGCGACCTCTTCCCCGGTCAGAGGGAGCCACTCTTTTGATCCGGCTCAGTGTCCTGTTTGCCAAGTGGAATTTTCAGATCTGAGCTCTAAACAAAATTAGCCTGTAATTTTCTTCTGTAATGCTGTCCTGACAGGCTTAGGCCAGAAAACAAACCACATGGTTTTCTGTTTTATGTGAACATTGGTTGCACAGCTGGTGTCATTTGCCAGGTCAGGGGACACCTGGGTGTGCCCCGCCCCCTCCTCCAAGTTCTCCAAGTCTGTGCTTCAGTGAACCAGGCACACACTCGGTTTCTCTCTCTCTCTCTTTTTTTTTTTAAGATTTTATTTACTTATTCATGAGACACACAGAGAGAGAGGCCGAGACACAGGCAGAGGGAGGCTCCCTACGGGGAGCCTGATGCGGGACTCAATCCCAGGACTCCGGGGTCACCCCTTGAGCTAAAGGCAGGTGCCCGACCACTGAGCCACCCTGCCGTCCCCCCACACTCAGCTCTGGGCACCCTTCCCGGCTTTACCTCCGCCGCTGGGCAGATACCTTGGTTTCAGCCTTTCCCAATCCTGTCCCGTTCGCCTGCTTTCTGAAGGCGCAGCCGGCCGAGTCGCCACCGCGATGCCACCTGATGCTGGCACAAGCCAGAAGGTCCTGTGATGGGGTTGTCTCTGAGAGCCGCTTTGCCTGCTCCAGATGGCCTCTAAGGTCCCCCCCTACAAACCTTCCCTCTGCCCAAAGTCATCTAGCAGCGTGCTCTTCGTTGGCAGTAGTTTTTAAAATATGTCCCAAGCTTGGAGACCCATGATGCTCGCAGCCCAGGGGCCACCCAAGGCAGTGCTCAGGATCTGAACCCAGTGGCCTTGGCAGGGAGGAGAAGTATTGTCTTCAACCGCAGATCTTTGCCCATCGTGACTGTGCCACGTGATTCGTCACCCCATTTGCTCCACCCTGAGAATGGCGGGCCCCCAAGTGGCTCGGAGGGTGAGCCCTGGAGCCACCAGACTGCCCGGACGCAGGGCAGCGTTGCTGTGTGTGAATGGCGGTGAGGGCAGCACCTGCCTCGCCGGGGGTTGGGGCCACATGAGCCGACAGCTATCAAGTATTTAGGATGGTGACCGGCCTTACCTACTCCAGCAGCTGCCACCACCGTCATCCGAACCCGAAAGGCTCTTCATGCACCAAGAGAAGCTTCTAACCCTTGGCCAAGGACATGAAAGTCTCTCGTCTCTGTTCCAGGAACATAAAAATAAGAGATGAGAAAAAAAAATTTTTTTTAATGTCTTATTTAAATATTTTATTTTTTAGCGGCACCCAGGTGGCTCAGCCGGTAAAGCATCAGACTCTGGATTTGGGCTCAGGTCGTGATCTCAGGGTCCTGGTGTGGAGCCCCGGGTGGGGCTCTGAGCTCAGTGGGGAGTTGACTTGTGCCCCTCTCCCTCCGCTCCTCCCCGTGCTCATGCACACACATGCTTCCTCTCTCTCTGAAATAATTAATAAATCTTTTTTAAAAGTTTTTAATAGTTCTTTTAAGTTTATATTAATTGACCACACACTAATAATGCATTTATTATATTTAATAGGGTAATATCCCATTTTAAAATAAAATGAAAATATTTTAAATCGAAAAACTAAAGATTTGGAATTTTTTTAATGCAAATTGAAAATCTCTGCACCAGGAGCAGAGTGGGAGCACACAGCAGTGAGCAGGCCCGTGCAGGAGTCCGGGCCAAGCCCTGGCACAGGCATGGACACTGTGCTCTGGGATTGCTGCCCCTGGGGGATCTGGCTCCTGACTAGCCCAGAGGACTGCAGCTGGACCCCCACGAATCCCAGTGAGATCACCCTTCCCAGCAGGATGGAGGTGGAGCACAGGTGCCCACAGCCTGCCCACAGCCTGCCCTGGGCCATGGTAAGATACCACCTTCTCAGATGGAAGGCAAGCTGAAGAACCCATGGGCACCCAGTTTATATAAAGAACCCCCATAGATTTATCCCACAGATACAGATGCAGTGAAACGCCGAGATGCCTGCACCCCGATGTTCTTAGCAGCAATGTCCACACTAGCCAAACTGTGGAAGGAGCCTCGGTGTCCATCAAAAGATGAATGGATAAGGAAGATGTGGTCTATGTATACAATGGAATATTCCTCAGCCATTAGAAACGACAAATACCCACCATTTGCTTCAATGTGGATGGACCTGGAGGGTATGATGCTGAGTGAAGTAAGTCAATCGGAGAAGGACAAATATTATATGGTCTCATTCATTTGGGGAATATAAAAATTAGTGAAAGGGAATAAAGGGAAAGGAGAGAAAATGAGTGAAAATATCAGTGAGGGTGACAAAACATGAGAAACACCTAACTCAAAAAAAATTTTTTTAAATAATAAAAAATAAAAAAACCAAAAAAATAAAAAAAATTTAAAAATTTAAAAAAAAAGATAGAGAGAGACACCTAACTCTGGGAAATAAACAAGGGGTAGTGGAAGGAGAGGTGGGAAGGGTGACTGGGTGACGGGCACTGAGGGGGACACTTGGCAGGATGAGCACTGGGTGTTATGCTATATGTTGACAATAAAGAAAATTAAAAAAAAAAAGATGTGTTGAAGATAATAAATAAAGAACTCCCATAAATTAATAGAAAGGCAATCCAATGTACAAACAAGGAAAACAAATGGATAAACAGTCTGAGGAAGAGAACCTGCAAACAACCAACATGCAGGTGGGTATTCAATCCCACTTGCAACCAGACGAATGGACATGAAAACGTTGAGATCAAATTCCTCACCCATCATCCTGGTAGGAGTTATGATGATGTATTTTCTGGTGGTGATGGTGGCGGCTCTTTCATTTTTGGTCAAGGTCGAGATGGTGGCACAGTGCTGAATGATGGTTCTGAGCTCGGAATCACAGGGACTGGTTCAGACACTGACCCCGCCTCTGAGGAGCAGGCTACCTCCCCCCACCTCAGTGAGAGTAACAGGAGCCCGGTTCGTGGAGCGTGGCAAGGACCTAACACACTTAGCACAGGCCGCAGCGTTGGGTCGATTCCAGTACGTGGTGCTTACGGTGTCTCAGAGGGAAGTGTGGAGCATGAGTGAGGAAGGACAGGTCATGGGACCAGAGCAGAGGACCTAGAGGGGACACCCAGTAATGACCTTGGGAAGGTCAATGAGGGACTTCCAGTGAAACAGGGTGCATTGAATGAGCATCGTTATTTCCCGCTCTTCCTGAATCACCTCCAAAATAGAGGCAACAGAGGATGTCAAAGGCTATAAACACACAAGGGCCAAAGGGACATGAGAGCCTTTGACAGGAGATGCCATGAAAACAAGGAAGGAAAGCAGATAAGATGAGAGGGACGAGGCAGGCCAGAAGACGTGGGACCCGTGGGCCAGCAGAGGGGCAGCGAGGATAAAGCCCACCTTCCAGCAGAACCCTGGGAGAGGGGGGCAAGGTCCGGTCCTTCTGAGGTGGGGTTGAAGGTGGTAGGTCTGCCTAAGGGGCATTTCGACCCCAGAGAGCAGGTGCCCAGCTGCCCACCATGCCAGCAGGCAGCCCGGGGCCAGGGATGCCACACACAGGTGAGGGTGGGGTTGGGAGGCCAGGCTGACAGTGAAGAGGACACGAGAGCCCTCCCTCCCCTTGACTCACTGGCTCATCCAGGCAGAGACTGAGCCTCCCTGACCAGCACAGGATAGACCTAATGGGCTGTGGGCTCCCCCCTCATTCCAGGGAAGCAGCCAGGATCCTACCCACCCACTTCCCTCCCCCGGGAGAGTTAATAAGCCTCTTCCCAGACACACTGAACTTTCCAGTAGCTTTTCATCTGGTTCTTGGATATAAAGAGAGCCAAAGCATCACCCAAAATGTCAACACCACCAAAGAAGTCTGCCTTGGATATATTGCTCAGGGTCCCGGCAGGAAAAGGATGGCAGGCTCAGCAGGACAGTTAATAGAGGAACCGGCCGACGGGACGTGGACAGGGTTCCATCGAGGAACCAACGAGGGGTGGCCTGGCGTCCCCGGGACTGGCAAAGCAAAGCGGCCACCACCCTGAGCACTCCCAGCCGGGTGCTCACCAGGGAGGCCGTGGGGGAGGACACCCCTGCATCTCACTCTCCTCCGACTCGACCGAGGGCACGGACCCCGCTCATGCGGACCCGGGGGCCAGTCTCCAGGGCCAGCCGTGCCTCGCCTCTCATGCCCCGCGCCGTGGTTCTCTGGTTCATCGTCGCTGCGTAGAGCTGTGAGCCCTTCACCCTCCCCACTCTGGGGCTAGTCCACTGCGAATCCCCCGCGGTGCGGTTATTTGTTCTTTTACTCCTAAACAATTGCACTGTTTCCCTGTTTGGGCTATTTTTTTTATTTATTTATGATAGTCACAGAGAGAGAGAGAGAGAGAGAGAGAGAGAGGAGAGGCAGAGACACAGGCAGAGGGAGAAGCAGGCTCCATGCACCGGGAGCCCGACGTGGGACTCGATCCCGGGTCTCCAGGATCGCGCCCTGGGCCAAAGGCAGGCGCCAAACCGCTGCGCCACCCAGGGATCCCCCCGGTTTGGGCTATTATAAAGAAAACGCTCTTATGTTGATTCTTGATAGAGATTTGTAAGAGTTTCTCTGGGGTATGGTTGTTCGTTCACAGGGTCGGCCCGTGTCTGACTTTACAAGGTAAGTGCAGAATCACGTTCCAACGTGGTGTTGCTCTATCTCATGCCCCACCAGCTGTGTGTATGGACAGGTCGGTGGAATATTCTGGCTCACAGCTTCTTCATCTCTGAAATGGGTACGATCAGGCTGGTCTTACGGGTACGGTGAGGACTCACTTTTGTCATTTAGGTGAAAGGTTTTTTTCAAGCTACGTATTTGATAACGAGAGCAGTAGTCTTGTGCAAAAAGCACACGCAGCTCAAAACAAGACGTAAACGGTCTGAAGGGAACTACATGCCGTGTTCTCGGTTCACACTTGATGCTGTGTCATGGCAGCTATTCCAGCCGCCCGTTTTGTACGGCTCACGAAGGAATTTATGCTTATTTTCTGTCTCCCCCCCCCCCGCCTCCCCAGAATGTATAATAAGATGTGGCATCAGACCCAAGAAGCCCTCAATTCTTTGCTTGATAAAGAGTCCCAGAACATGATGGAATCACAAAGAAATCAAGTTTTCATCTTCCAAATGCTGGCCACCTTCTACATAAAATATGTGCAGATCTTCAGAAACCTGGAGGATGTCTATGACCAGATCGTCCACCCGCAGAAGCGAATACTGATCCGAAAAATCCTGGATGGAGTGATGGGTCGCGTCCTGGAACTGAAGAATGAAATGGTTGAATTGGAATTAACTGAGTTTCACTATTTTGATGACATCCTACAGGATCTAAAGTTGGCTCCTGTAAGTACTCAACTTCTCCTCTTCTCAGTTTCTTGTTGTTTTTAAATAAGCTATGGAGGCCTGTGGCCAATTTCCTACTGACTTTCTAGACGTAGTTGCCAGTTGTTGGATGAAAAGTTGAAGCATTGCCCTTAGTTGGACCATGCGGCCGTGGACAAGCATTGGGTTCCTGTAGTTTTGGGCATAGACACACCTTCACACAGTCCTTGGGTCCATCGGACACTGAAGATGTTGTCTTCCTTGTCACCATGGTATCTGCCCAGGGCTGTTGGCTGGAGCAGGCCAACTCTTTGATAAATACCTTGTGACACAGTCCCTCCCGAGTCCCAGTCCCGGTGCCCACTCTTCTGCTTCCAAAGGAGATCTCCCTCTGGACTTTGTTTCCCATCATCTTCTTCAGGATGAGCTGTCTATTGGTTGCCAGTTCCTTATTCCCAGGTGGATGCATCTCCTCCTCTGCTTTGGGTCTCTGGTGACTCAGGCATTTTTGGCAATAGGCCTTTGAGACTCAGACAAGAAAGAAGGACATCCTGCCTCTCTCTGATGCCCTGGAGCTGTGAGCATTGTGCCCCCGACCTTCACTGCCAGACACCCAGAGTCTCTTCTGATGCTCTGTCTGGCCGAGTCTGCCAGCGGCCAGTGGACAGCTCACTTCAGTGTCACGGTCCTATGAGCCCCGTCTTCATTCTGAAAAGAACGTTTCCCTAAAGTAAGATTAAAAGGAGACAGTGTTCAATTTTCTACCTGACATTTTAATGCTTCTTCTTTTGAACATATTCAAGATTCTATAAAGGTTATGTTTCTTTCTGGAATAGACTTTCTTAGCGTTATTATTGCACTTTGTTAGAATGGACTATAAAGAATAGCTAAAATGATTGCAAATGTTGACAATCACTCTGGAACTTTTACGTTTATTGCATTCAGTTATAAGAGCGTGGATTAAAGCACCAGATTTTTTTCGGTCAGGTGTACTTTACTCACCCATGTTATATCAAGAACAACTGAGGATAAACATGAAATAAACAGTCATTAAATCATATCCCTAAGTTGAATTAATGAAGCAATATTAAGTGTGTTAATTTAATTCAAAAAATATTAAGATTCTTGAAGTTGAAGAAGACATTTATGAAATTTGTGTCGTGGGCTCCTTCAGATTTTCTTTTTTTTCTTTTTAAAGATTTTATTTATTTGATAGACATAGAGAGCGAGAGAGAGAGAGAGAGGTAGAGACACAGGAGAAGGGAGAAGCCATGCCAGGAGCCTGACGTGGGACTCGATCCCGAGACTCCAGGATCACACCCTGGGCCAAAGGCAGGCGCCAAACCACTGAGCCACCCAGGGATCCCCTCCTTCAGATTTTCTGGCTCACCTAGATCATCTTTTCAGAGCCCATGAGTACTGAAACGGGTGACAAATGAGTGACAGTGTCCAAGAAGCCTTCCTGCTGGGAGACTCTCAACTGTGTTTTCCACCAGTTCTGGAGCATGCACCCTGAGCCACGTGATGACACCTGGGTCCAGGTGGTTAGGGGGTGTGTCCAACAGCAGCAGCGTGGACTCCTGGGCAGTGCCGGGCCAGGGAGACACACATGTACCAGCCCTGGGAGCTCCTGCAGGGCTCAGTTCTGCGCTTGAGGGTGGAAGCCTGACCAACCAGCACCCCTGGGTCTGGGCCTCTGTGGCCACCACCCACACAGCGCACATCTCCCTTCTGTTTTGTTGGGCTGGCACCCAGCTATCTGTACAGTATGACCCGCAGTCTGACCACAGCTCATCAGTCCAAGGATGGGTCCTGATGCTGCAACAGGTGATCCTTTCCCAAGAGATTCTGAAACCAAGACAGAGAGGTGAGTGTCTGTCTTGAAGTCTCAACTACAGTCTCCCAAATTTGTAAGTAGTTGGAGCCTTAGCTCTCAGATGCTCAGAAGAATGAACAAAGCTGCTCTTCAGAGTGAAAGAGGGAGAGAATGAGAGGGAGAGAGAAAGAGAGAGGCAGTGAAGAGAGAGGACAAAACAGATTCACCAAGAGGAGGAGTAAATGGCAGCATCCTGAAGGCATCTTCATCCCTGGACACATCCTTGCTGATGACAGACTCTCTGCTGTGTTCCTGCCCCAGGTCCACAAAGCCATAAGTCTGTCCATCGTGTCCCCTCAGCTACACTAATCAGAAGAGCGTTTCTGCCGCCTGCCATGTAAGGAGCCTTCCTAATGTCGAGAAACGTGTAAGGGAGGGAGAGGGAGTTCCTCTGCTGGAACAAGTTTCCTTGATCCCACCCTGCAGAGGATGGGAAACCACCAGGTATCTGAGATGGACACAGAGTGTCACGTGGATGGAGGCCTAGCAGCCGATACAGGTCTTCCTCTCTCTTCCATTCTCAACTGCTATATTTCCTCCCCCTCAAACTCTTAGCTAATGGACCAGATGGAGCCATGTCAATAAAATGTCTTAAATGTTGGAAGAGCACATCATTTGAACACACTTATTAATCAATAAAATCTCAACATTAAATAAAAGTAGAATCATTCTCTTCTGACTGCCCTCCATCCGCAGGCCACACTCACTCCGTGGACCCTGGAAACTCACCTGAAAACTCCCACTAGTTTAAGAAGGTTTGGTTTTTAAAAACGATTGCCACCTAGTACTGATACTGTCTCACCAAGTCCTAAAAAAGGACACTCCTTTATGGTTATAATGCTTCTTTAAGGGAAGGCCTGTTCAAAATCCCCTGGTTGGGAGAGAGGGTGTGGAGAGCCACGTGAAAATGGGAAGAAGGGGAGTTGACCCTGAAGACCAGAACCTTTTGCTTTGCTGGGCCAACTGGTCTACCAGAAGGCAGCCAGGAGTGTCTGAGAGTCTAGGACAGTGTTCCTCAATGGGGGTGGCCAAGGGCCCATCCCACATGCTTGAATAGCACTTCTACACCCCCGATTGTTGACCTCGGGCTGATAAATAGTTGTGTGACCTCCGCTAAGTGAAATATTGGTCATATGCATAAATGAAACATAGAAGTTTCTATTTATGGCATAAAAAGCAAGTTTCCTAGTAAAGCGAATGAACTTTGCCAGTAATTTTTGTAATTTCGGGTAATTTAGGTAAAAATAAAAACAAATCATTAGGGGAAAAAATGTGATCATTTACATGCAAATAATTAATGATGCTGATGATAAATTGTTATCAGGCTTAATTCAAAGATCTCTATGTCACAATACTTTGCTATCTTGCATTATTATTTTAGGTAGGCTGAGATGGTATTATATTTATTTAAAGACATTCATTAGGTTATTAGTCGATTGAGGATTAACTGATGTGAATTCTTAAGTTTTACTGAAATGATTAAAACAGGCCAAGGTGATGGTTTTTCCCTGGGATTTTGTGTCTCCTTAGCAGTAATGAATCCTCTTCATACCACTGGCCTCATCGCCTCTTAAATAAAGATGGGAGATGACACACATCTCTTTGATGTGCAATCCTTACTGTATATTATAAATAGATTTGAGTCCTGGAGTTGTGACAAAAATAACAATTGTGACAAAATTGTGCCTTTTTGCTTATTTTTTATCCTCTCTAGCAACAATTAGATATTCCCATCCCCAAGTATTTTTTGAAGGAGAAATTGGAAGTAATCAAAGGAAGGGAGAAAATTCTTGCTCAAATATTAACCAGCGCTGGATTAGATATACCCAAAAAGGTTTGTATATCATTTTAATAAACATCATTCCATAATCTATTAAACCTTTCTCTGTGGCTCCTAATTGTGCGAGAGACAGATTATTTTCAGCAGGCGGAAACCAGCACCCACGCCTCCTGCTAGTCGGCATGTAAGAAGTTGCTTACCTTCTGGATGTATTTTTGATGCTTCGTGACCATTATTTTTCAAGAACTTAGACACCAAAATATAATGCTTTGTTGGTTGAGTTGGTATCTCCGAGACTGAGCAGATTTATCAGCTCAGATTCATTTTTCATCTCAGACACCTTGAAAGTCAGAAGCAAAATGTTTTCATGTGAAATAATTGTTAAGATAATGTACTGGTCAGTCTTTTCCTTCCAGGTTTTTCCATGTGGCACCACCACACCCAGCTTCTGGTGAGTCTGCTTATGCATTTCGGTGGCCCTCACTGCCTCCCGCATCTGTGCCTCACATCCCCTGCTGGTCATTGCCCAAGCAGGGAGGCGGCAGCTGGCCGTCCAGGCTGGGACGATTCAGAGTAATTATCCATCAGTGACTCTGCTGAGGCCGCAGGTGCAGCCCCGGTGCCTGGGGAAGCCAGCAAGTATGGGCTTCCTACAGATAGGGTATTGGCAGCCTGGGTCCTCATGCCAAGAAGATTCTGGGAGCCACCAGAAGGGCAGTGGGGAGGGAGAGGACGTGCCCTGTCTGCCTGCCGCAGGAAGCGGGTAGGGTGCACGACTGTATGAGGTGGCTCTGTGCTATCTCTTGTGCACAGGCACACTCCATGCTGCAGGGAGTGCTTGCTCTTTTCCCTACAACCCGGCCTGTCGAAATGGTACTCACTTAGCAGAGCCCAACTTGATGCAGCATCCCTTAGGAAACCTGTGCTGACCCAGTAACTCAAGAGGGCCTCTCCCTCCTCCGCCTCTCCCCTCACTGACCAGCCCTCCCTCTGCATTGCATTCCTGATCTGGCTATTTCGGGAAGGGGGGGTCATCTAGCCATCCTGGCACCTCTTGGTGTCCTCAGTTCATGCATCACGCAGAAAGAAGCACTCAGCACTTCATCCAGCTCCCCCCAAGGAATCCCCTGGAGCAAAGCATTGATGAGCAGTAGAGAATTCACGGCGGATTTTATGGGGGAAACGGAGGAGGGAGGTGATGTTGTACACACTACAGTCAAACCCCCAAAATTCCTCTTTGCTGCTTCTCCTTTCTGGTGTCCCTCTCCGCTTGTGCAGAGTTAGCAGCAGGAAGCTTGCTTTCTCAGCAGCCAGCCCTAGCCGGCTCCGCTAGGTAGAGAGCCTCCCGTCCCTATCTCAGCCTCTATTTCTGATAGGCCTAATGTCAGCAAAATGCTGGGCTCTGGACAACCACCCTCGACATCTGGGTGACCTTCCCATGCCTTTCAGTGCCTCATGAGACTCCACTTTTACCTTAAGCTGCTTATTTCTTGATGATATATACAGCATATACCCCAAAAAAGAATTTCAAGATGCGATTATTACCATCCAGTCCTACATCTTTAATGCTTAGTATTTACTCTAAGGCCTTCCATAAATTTCAGAAATCTTTGTCTTTTTGAGTAGACCTCTCAAACCCTCCAAAGTGCTCGGTAAGGGCTGTAATGATTTTCAGAGCGACAATATAAAATCTAGAAGGAAGTAAGTACGATAATAACTAGTGTTTGCAGGACACCTGCCATGTGCTTGAGCGCTTGTACGTACCTTGTCTGATCCAAGGCCGACACGGTACCCATTGCACTCTAACACGCCGAGGGCATTCTTGGAGATGTGCGCTCACAGCATATACAAGGTGACAAGATCCCACGGAAAGCCAAAGTCTGAGGAATCGTTGCATGAAAGAGGGAGCTCCTAGTGATGGTGGATGCACCACGGGGAAGAGGGTCAGTCTTGGTTCAAGCTGGCTCCACCCCTTACCGACCGGGGGAACTCGTGGCGACTCTGTCTCTTGTGTCAGGCGCAGTCTTCTTCTGAACTTTTGTCTGGTCACAGGAATACCTGCCTTGGAGGTTGCTCTGTGAATTTGCCAAGATTGTCTACAAAAAGCATCTGGCTTCTGTAGGGTCTCGGTAAATGCCCCTTGCCTTTCCCTGGTCCTTCCTGTGCACTGTGCCCCCCACCACCCCGGGGCCATTACAGAGGAGACATCATCCTGAGAATCAGGGACCCTGGTGATGAACTGGAGCACCCCGCACTCGGGATCTCAGTGTCGGACATCATGTCCTGATAAGGACATCAGCCCATGACTTTCTGATTCCAGAGGCCTCTCACTTCTGTCTCTGTCCCTGCATGAGGCTCCACCGAGCCAGGCCCTGTGCCCAGCTTCTCCCTCGCCCTGGGGACAACAGACAGCCCCACCCCTGCGCCCACTCAGAGCTCTCGCAGGGCTCTGGGTGGCCCAGCAGCCTTGCTCCTGACCCTCTTCAGGAAATGGCACAGCCCCGCACCTGGCCCTGCCTCCCCATGGCACATCTGACATCTCCAAAGGCAGCATTTTACTGCACCAGCCCTGGTTTTTGTCCAGTCGTAATTTTCTCATCCCATCTGGATGTTTTGAAATGCAGATTTGTAATTAGCAGAGGACATTTCATGTATAAATTGAATATGCCTAAAATGATGTTAACATTACTCATATTTACTAGATCATCCTGCAATTGATTTTGAAGTCAGCATTTTACTTCATATGTGTTTTACTTTCTAAGTTCTCATATTAAAGATATGCTTTTAATTTATATGTTGCTACTATTAAGTTAATAAAACATGGGTAGCAATTTTGAGCTTTATTGAATCCATTTTATTGGCATTCCCAGTATAATGTGCTGCCAACCTAAAATATTGTGGAACTAATTAATATTTTGTTTGAAATGGTAGAGGAAAGCTTATGGGGTCCTTAAATATGGGACCAGAGCACAAGCATGGCACGTTATCAAAATTCACATAATTAATGAGGAGTGTGGTTAGTATTAAAGCACCGTCAGACTCTTTATCAACGGTTTGGGAACTCTTAGCAAGGTTGCCTTAGAAGTAAGCATGTGATGCTTCTGGGATCAACCGATGTAGTTAACGTGTTTCAACACTGATTTAACATGAATGTTTCCGCAGAAATACGGCGTGAAGAGTATCCCCCTAGAAGAGGCTGTTAAGCTAATCCAGATCTCCGAGAGAGCACGGCAAGGTCGCCTAAGAGCGATGTTCATGAAGCAAATCTTCCTTCGAGAACACAGAGCAAAGCAAGCCAAGATACTTGGCGAGAAAGTCGCCGACGTGGGAGCCGCCGCGCTGCAGATTCAGAAGGTGCGAGTGTGGTGCTCATGGAGCTGGGGCACAAGTGTGTTGACACGGCCAGAGATGCACCCCAGGGTCGGCGGTGAGCTCTGAAACCCCAAACTCCAAAACCCTACCTTTACTAGAACTGGATTTTGAATTCCAGGGAGATTTATTATCTTACCCTGGGGAAGCTGTTACCTAAGCTTGGTCCGGTTTTGGTTTTGGCTTGTGGTCGTTTTGGGGTTTTGGGGTTGTTTTTGTTTTGTTTTGTTTTATTTTGCTTTTTTAGATTTTATTATAAGTAGGTATAAATTGCTGGGCATTTGGTTCAAATATTTTTAAAGATCGCTGATAATTGTTGGAAAGAATGTTGCTCAAAATATAAACCCTCAGTGAGTCTTTACAAGTGTACTCACACACAGACACAATCACAGAAGGGGCACAGGACCAACACCTGCTGGCTTGCGTACTGTTCACAATGCCCGCGGCCATCACCGAGCACCAGGACGTCGGTGTTCCCTTTAGACGTGGGCCTCACGGGTCCTCCCCATATGAGCACCATGGGTTTGCACCCCTGAGGGTTTGCACCCCATCTTTTCCCAAACGGAAGCTAAGGTTGCTTACAGGAAAATGAGGAAGCTGGCCGCGTGGGGCAAATTAGAATGAGATGAGAGGGAGGGAAGGCACCAGGACGCAGACCCCAGCCAGAGAGTCGCGACCACCCCATCCCCGCTGGGGTCTGAATGGGGACGGGGGGCTGTGGGGGCAGAGAGGCCAATAACAAACCATTTCCTTTCAAATTTCTGTGAATATGGGAAGTTCTAAACCAGCACCTTGAGTTCAGAGCTTGAGTTGTACCCGTCCTGGATGTGACCGTGTTAACCTTTCCCCACATTACAATGGAAACTTTTCTTTGAGAGCTATGAAGTGCTGCCCTTAGATCTAGCCCCACGGTCCTGAAATCTGGAAGTTTCTCCTAAAGAAACCCAAGTAGGGGACTCTGGCTAATGAAAATTATAAAGTCACTTCTTCTTTCCCCGCCCCACCCACCTTTCCTGACATACGACATGGTGCATATTTAAGATGTACGGTGTCCTGATTTGATATACGTGTCTACTGCGAAGTAATTATCACCATAAGGGTGACTAAAGCATCCATCACAGCACACAATTACCAGTTGTTGTAGTGAGGACGCTTACAATCCACTCTCAGCAGCTTTCGAACACACGACACGGTGTTGGCTACCGTCACCATGCTGTGTACGGAAATCCCCAGAACTCATTCATCTGGTAGCTGGAAGTTTGTACCTTTGGGCCACTTTCACCTCTTTCCTCAACCCGCCCCCCGCAGCCCCTGGCAATCCCGAATCTGCTCCGTTTCTGTAGGTTCAGTATTTTAGAGTCCACGTGTCAGTGAGATCATACAGGAGTCGCCTTTCTATGACTTTTCTCACTTAGCGTGCTGCCCTACAGTTCATGCATGTTTCACAAATGTCAGGATTTCCTTCCTCTTTTGACTGAATAATATTCCATTATACACACACACACACACACATATGTGTGTATATCACATTTTTTATCCACCACGGATGGTTTGTTTCCATGTGATATGTTGTCAATAATGCTGCAGTGAACATGAGGGCACAGATATCTCTTCAAGACGGTGATTTCATTTCCCTCAGATAGGTATCCAGCGTACGATCCCTCCGTCATAGGGTAGCTCCATTTTTAACTTCTGGAGAAACCACCACACTGTTTCCACAGTGGCTGCTCCAGTTTGCATTCCCAGCAGCAGCGCACGAGGGTTCCCCTTTCTCCACATCCTCCGCAACACCCATTGTCTCTTGTCTTGTGGGTCAGAGCCACTCTGACAGCTGTGAGGCTCTCGCTGGCCCAGCGTTGGGTTGTGCGGTTGACAGATGTGCTTCCAGGGTCTTGGACGGGTATGGATCCTGTCCGGTCCCCAGGTGGATGGGACAGCCTCCGACACCCCTTGTTCTTTCTTTAAAATCTTTGCCCATGATCACAGAAGAAAAAATATTCCATCGATGCGCACATACATGCACGGCCTTGACTGTGTAGTCATCACACTGTTTGAAATGGGAGAAATCATAGGACAGTGTTTTCTTTTTTTATTTAATACATTAGTCAAGTAACCATTTATTTGTTTTTAGGTTTGGCGAGGTTTCCATCAGTGTAAGAAAACCAAAAAACAGAGAGAGGAGGAGATGATATTCCTGGGTATGGTAAGTTCCCTTACAGGCCGGATATGCGTATGGTTTTTAAGTCTTGTGTCTTCCTTAGAGAGTTTTTGTGGGAAGAGAGGAAAGAAAAATAAGTGACCAGTGACTTAAGAGAACGGGATCGCCTGTAATGTACGGGGCGGAGCAGGCCTGCGTCCGTTTACACGTCTCTTAGAATATGTGGACTGCTCTGAATGTGGAAACGAATGGTACGCCGCCCCGCGTGATGTCTGCACTGCCCTCTGTTAGCATTCGTGGTCAACAGAATGGCCTTGCACCGAGACAGCTGGCTTTTCTCGGGTGACCTCCACGGTGACTGCTCCACCAGAACTGGAAGCGTGTGTGTTCGTTATCTGTCGCCGTGGAACAACGTTACCACAGTTTAGCAGCTCAAACACATGCTCGCACCTCAGCTTCTGTGGCCCAGGGTCCGGGCTTCGCTCCGTCATCCACTCGGGATCTTGCAAGGCCGAGCGCAGGGTGACCCCCGAGGCCCTCCCGGGTACAGTCCCCGTGCAGGCTGGTGTGGTTGTTGGCAGGACTTGGTCCCTCGTGGGCTACAGGCCGCAGACCTGCTTTTTGCCAGCTGTCAGCTGGAGGCAGCCCCCAGCCCCGCGCCCCGTGGGCCATTCCGTGTGGCAGCCTGCTCCGTCCGAGCTAGCTTGAGAGACAGGGACACCTGCAGTCTCCAGCCGCGTGCTTCGCCTTTCCCTCTTTGGGTCCCTTAGAGGCAAGCCACGGGGTGCGCCCTCACGCAGGGGTGCGCACCAGCAGGAGGGATAATTGGGGACCGTCTTAGCACCTCTTTCTGTGCAAAGGAGTGTTTTGCATTCCCTTGCCCCATGCGAGAGGCCCTGTCCACCCCCGCTCCCAGTTCCTCCTGAACACCAGCCCCAGCTCCCCAGGCCAGCCCATTCTCATTCCTTTTAGAAGCTTCTGCTTTTCAGGGCCCCGCAGCCGGGCTGTGGCTCTGTCCCCCGGGGCAACTCAGAGTGTGCCTGCCTCCCCTTCCCCTTCCACCCACGAGCCTCAGGGATGTGCAGGCAGCTCTCGGGCCCACGCGCCAGCGCTTCTCAGAGCTCGTTCCTGCCACAGATGGCCACCGTTCTGGCGGGCCTGGTCTCCTCGCTGCCTTAAGGGACATCACGATTTAAAAGAAGGCCTGTTCTAGCACTGAGTTGGTGCACTGGCACCAATGATCTACATTATTTAGCGCCCCATGTTTAATGCCAGGGATAAAAAACACTGCACCAGTGACGTTGATAGACACTGTGACCAAATCTTTGCAAATGCTGATCCCATACCAAGCTCTGCTGAGGCTAAAAGAAGAAAAGCAAATGTGAATACACTGTGTGTAATCACAGATACCGATATGTTAAAAAAAATGATTAGACAGTATCATGAGTGACTAATGCGTAACTAAGGTAACAAATTAGAAAATACTGAACAGAGAAGATTATCTAGGGAAGTCTAAATATCAAAGCAGACCAAAGAGATAAAATACCCCAATAAACCAATCACTACAGCAAGTGCCAGAGAGTTTTTCCAAGCACCAGCGTTCATTTGGGTGCTATGAGGGGCAGGTGCCAGGCAGGACTTAGACACACAGGATATGTGGTCCCTGGGTGGCTCAGTGGTTTGGCACCTGCCTCCAGCCCAGGGTGTGATCCTGGAGTCCCAGGATCAAGCCTCACGTCGGGCTCCCTGCATGGAGCCTGCTTCTCCCTCTGCCTGTGTCTCTGCCTCTCTCTCTCTCTCTCTCTCTCTCTCTCTCACATGAATAAATAAATAAAATCTTAAAAAGAAAAAAAGACATGCAGGATATTTACTGGGAGGAACAGAGGGGCCAGGGGAGCTCCACCAGGAGGCAGGGGTGAGGGAGAGGGGTGGGGGGGAGGAGCCGCTTCCAAAACAGAGGCCAGCACCATCTTTAAAAATCTATGCTAATAAAAGAGAAGAGAGGGACACCTGAGGGCTCAGCGGTGGAGCGGCTGCCTTCAGCGCAGCGCATGACCGCGGGGTCCTGGGATCGAGTCCGGCATTGGGCTCCCCACAGGGAGCCTGCTTCTCCCTCTGCCTGTGTCTCTGCCTCTCTCTCTGTATCTCTCATGAATAAATAAATAAAACCTTTTTAAAAAGAAAGAGAAGAAAGAATCAGGAATGGGGATGTCTGGGCAAGGACCCAGGACCAAGGGCAGCTCAGAGACCGCTAACGGGGATTTAAGTGGGCACCCACCTGCCTGAGGACCGTCTGTCTCATCACAAATGTTAAAACCCTTATTCCTGTTTGCTCAGAAATCCTGACCCTTTGCAAACTTCTTTGCTGAAAAAAAAAAGAAGAAGAAAGTGAGCAAATTTTACAGTATGTCAATATTCCTATCAGAGTAGTTTTATAATTGTAGATTGGTGCCCAGAAATAGTTCATACAGTTAAAACATCCCATTGTGCATCTTTCAAAGTGATGTTCAGAGTTTCTCTGTGTCGTGCAAATTGTGAACACGTGATCCTATTTTTTACACTTTGACTTATTCTTACATCTTTCTAACATAGACATGTATTTTATGTCTAAAAATTTACAGATAGGGGATCCCTGGGTGGCTCAGCTGTTTAGCGGCACCTTCAGCCCAGGGCATGACCCTGGGGTCCAGGGATCGAGTCCCCCATCGGGCTCCCTGCATGGAGCCTGCTTCTCCCTCTGCCTGTGTCTCTGGCCCCCTCTCTCTCTCTGTGTGTTTCTCATGAATCAATAAAATCTTTTTAAAAAATAAATAAATAAAATACAAATTTACAGATAAAATACATGTTCAGAATGTTATGGGGGGGAGATAGGAATCACAGTTTTAACAATTTGTAGCTCTTTTAACTGAAACTTTATCTAAAAGATGCTGAGCTCTAGGAAACAAACTGAGGGTCGCTGGAGGGGAGGTGGGTGGGGAGACGGGGTCACTGGGTGACGGGCACTAAGGAGGGCACGTGATGTGATGAGCACTGGGTGTTATATGCAACTGATGAATCCCTGAACTCTACCTCTGAAACTAATAAAAGAAAAAAACTTGAAAATTAAGCAGTATCAATTCACACTACCTTTTCCCAATTCTGTGTACCCGTTATCAAATGTGTATCTCAAGAGGAGAAAAAAATCAGATTGAAGATTTTTCCTTTCTTTCTATTTACAACAGTTAATGTGCTCAGAGAATAATAGAAGAAATGAAAAAAAATACTGTAATTTGTACTTTTTTAACCAGCGTAGGGATGTGGGTTTCATCGTATTACTCTTTTCTTTCTATGTGTAAGTTATAGTCGCTAATACTGCACTCCATCGTCTCGCTTTTAGAGAAGAGAAATCAAGGGGTCACCAGTGTGTGGTGGATCCAAGAGTAGGGAGACACATCAGATCCCGTTGTTCTGTGATCAACCACAAACGTGTCCATTTAGGCCACGTTTCCATCAGGGCTCCTAGTATGAAAATGTTAGATTTTCTTTGCAGAGATTTTAGGATTTAATTCAGTTAAAAGATAGTATTGGTGATATTATTAAATATAGAAAAAATATATAATTTAGTCCCATATTCATGATATTGCTGTGCAGCTTTCATCAATTTTATGACAGCACGTCCTAAGTAACAAGCCACGTGGTAAATATACTTCTTTTAGGAATGTCTTCTACCTCCCTTCGGCCCCACATCCTGGACCACTACACCTACAGCTGTGGTCTCTGTGCATCTCCTCCCTTGTCAGCACAGAATAGAAAATATGAATTATTTTGCTTGAGGAAGGAATTCAACTCTGTGTTCTAGATGTTTGGAAGAGCATGGTCTCTGGGTGAAGGGGCCTGGCATCCCTGCACATGTTTATAAAGTCTCAATCGTGACGTCCAGCCTTTATTATCTGAAAAAAAAATGTGGTAAATCACCCCTGAGTATGCATACATGATTTAAGAAACGCCTTGGTCTTGATCATCTGCATTCTTGATTTCCCTTTGGTCTTTGAATTTAAAAAATAAGTCAACATTTATTTTTGGAATTGTGACCCCTGGGGACTGCAGCCCATCTTGGACCTGGCAGTTGTTTGGAGAGCCACATGGTGGCTCTTCCAGCTGTCGCAGATTGGTTGTTTTTTTTGGTTTTTTTTTTTAAGTAGGCTCCAAGCCCTGTGGGGAACCCAACACAGGACTTGAACTCATGACCCTGAGATCAAGACCTGAGCTGAAATCAAGAGTCAGACAGTTAACCCACTGAACTACCCAGGTGCCCCATGGATTTTTATGATTGAACACATTTGCTGGTGGCATATAAAAAGAAGGAAATCCTGTCTCATGCTATATAGCATGGGCAGATTTTGAGGCCATTATGTTAAGAAAAAATAAGCAGTCACAAAAAGATAAATACTCTGTGATTCCACTTATCTAAGACACCCAGAAATTCAGAGAAACAGTAGAATGGTGCCTGCCAGGGGCTGAGGGAGGGGTGGGGGGCAGATATTGCTCAGTGGGTATGGAGTTTCAGTTTTGCAAAATGAAGAAGTTCTACAGATCTGTTTCACAACAATGTGAATACACTTAACACTGCTGAACTGGATCTTTTAAAATGGCTAAAGAGATAAATTTTGTTGTGGTCTTTTTTACCATGATTTTTTTAAAAATATTTTAATTCACCGGGACATTGAAATGTACACTGAAATGTACTGAAATATTCGCTAGTGGTCAAAAATACAAATTAAAGGGATCCCTGGGTGGCTCAGCAGTTTAGCTCCTGCCTTCGGCCCAGGGCATGACCCTAGGATCCGGGATAGAGTACCACACTGGGCTCCCTGCAGGAAGCCTGCTTCTCCCTCTGCCTGTATCTCTACCTCTCTCTCTCTCTCTGTGCCTCTCATTAATAAATAAATAAAATCTTTTTTAAAAATACAAATTAAAAATTAACTGACGTACTACATTTCCTTAAATCCTGGTGTCATCGATTGTAAGATGCATCGTGATTTTTATGTGCTTTTAAAGAAAGAAAA